AGTGCGCCCTACCCACGCCTCCTTGCACAGGATGCAACTCTTCCCTCGACTCTCCCTGGCGGCGTTTCCAACCCTACCAATCTCGGCGTTATGTTGTGGTGTTTGCAACCCCTCTACTTTTGCCTTCCTTCTCTTCCTCATGTGGGAAGTGCATCATCACTACCCGTTTTTCCCTTCTTGTGTATGGTTTTTGCCGACCCGTTTTCGTCTTCCTTCTTCCTGCATATGGGTTTGCAGCTCCGCTCTCTCCTTTCTCTCATTATTAATTTCGATTTCGCATGATGAAAGCTTTGTTCTCTGCTTATGTTGCTGTATGCTGAGCTCCCATGTTCTCATAGTTTCGTAGGAATGCTGGAGCATCACATTACAGTCATTATTATACTTTTCGTCGAATTATGTTGGTCGTACGGTGTATTGATTTATCTTGCGAGTGCATAATGAATGTAAACTTGTATTAATTGCCGTTCGCTGTACTAAATTGAAATTCTACGGTTTGATTAAGAGGTTCTGCATACGTTAGGGCTTTCTCGCTGCGTTACTGGTGTGGATCCTTCAACTAATACCTGCGGCTTTGTTAAAGGCTTATGGGTCCTCAACATTGAGAAATTTGGCTTATTTATAATAAATTTTCAAAAATTTTTTTAGGAAAAATAGTATTTATTGATTATTATTCGCGTTAATTAGGCTTGTTTGGAGCTCATTTTGCAGCTGCGAAAAAGGAGCGTCGAACACTGTAAACCGCCGTATGTATGTGCGTGCATTAGTTTTTGCGTGAAGCAGTTTCAAATTTATATAAAACGAACATTTTTTAAGAAATGTACAAAAATTTTTTCTTAAATTATGTTTATAGGTTATTATTTGCGTTTATTATTGAGTTTTAGCTCATTTTGTAGCTGCGGAAAAGGCGCGTCAAACGCATTGTTGTAGGGATGGTTGGGAGAAAATTCTCATAGAAGAAAATTATAAGCGAAATTAGAAAAAAATGTTCTAGAGTCGCTTGATATTGTCTTCACGAATCGAATGAAATGCCTCTCGATGTTGTAGTACATAAATTGAATGTAGAGATTTATTTTTAAAAGTCAATATTTTTCAGTTTTTAATGCATTTCACGTTTTCCATCATTTCGGGGAAAAAATATATAAACAAAGCGTTCTAGTATTCGTATTTTACAATTGTGTGTAAAGTTTCAAAAAGACTGGTCAGTAAATACAGGATTTTCTCCAGACCCAGACGACCCTCTCAAAAGAAACTATTTTAATACTGATGTGAATTTGTAATAAAAGTCGCTATAAAATTTAAAGTAAAAGTTGAATTGAGGCTATGCATAAAAACTTAATTACCTATAAGTTGTTTTTTCTTATATGGCGGAGTTTGTAGCAGCTCTTGATGCAAGTTATTACGATAAAATATTGTTAGTTATTACGATTTCGTAAAATATTGTACATTTCAGACTGGTCATGAGCTCTAGCAAAAACTAGCACCATAGAAACGACTGATGGAACTTATTTTTAACTGAAGTTTCTTAGTGCATTAATTGAGAAAATTTTTGGAAACGTTAATGCCAGTGAGCTATTAAGTAGGTCTACCAAATAGAAAAATGTAAAAATAAGAAATGTTTGTAACATGAATTTATTTTTGTTTTCAGTGGATCGAAGAAAGCTTCACACGTTTTGAGGAAGGAATTAACTGGCGGTCGTACGTGGTTTGCGACGTGAACTACCCTAGCGTCAACAACTGGCTATGGACGCCGTTCATTGAGCGCGGTCCTGCCAACATGATGTACGTCGAGATCAAGTTCTCCATGCGCGACTGTTCGCTGTTCCCGGGGACTGCGCTATCGTGTGAGTACCAACATCTTCTATCGTGTGAGTACCAACGTCTTCTATCGTGTGAGTACCGACGTATTCTATCGTGTGAGTACCGACGTCTTCTATCGTGTGAGTACCGACGTCTTCTATCGTGTGAGTACCAACGTCTTCTATCGTGTGAGTACCAACGTCTTCTATCGTGTGAGTACCGACGTCGTCGCAGCTTTTCAATGACAGCTAATTTGAGAGGACATTTGGGATGTGGGATCTGTTCTGTTGATGCTTCAATGATTTAGAATTCTTCATCGCATTATGTTCATTAGCTAAAGGTAATGGAATCGTAATTATGCTGAAAAAATATTCTACGTTTGTATAGTCGGTGCATCAAGAGTGTTTTTCAAATTTGTAAACATTATATTTCAAGCTGATATGTGAGTGTTGCCTCAACTATCTTTGATTGAAAAATTTACGAAACCATTCCATCTTAGTTATCCCTTCTTATTGAGCAGACTTGAAATATTTTCAAACGATTTTGTTTCAGGTAAGGAGACTTTCTCTTTGTTGTATTATGAATTCGACGCGGCTACCAAGGAGCCTCCTTTCTGGGAGTCCGAGAGCTACAAACTCATCGACAGGATTGCAGCCGACGACGGAAGATTCACCAACAACAACGAAGTAATCATCAACACAGAAGTGCGGTCCATCCCCGTCACCAAGAAGGGTGTCTATTTCGCCTTGCGTGATCAGGGAGCCTGCATCTCGCTTCTTTCAATAAAGGTTGTTTTTAGAACCTTGTTATGTTCTTGAACAATGCAATTTAGCATATTTTTTCACAAAAAATCTGGTAGTTCGTGTTAAGCTGAAAAAAGACATATCACGGCCCACAAACAAGGATGACTGAAAATCCATAATCTATTATAAACGGTTATCTCCTAGTATCATCACCCTTCATACTCTTCAATGGTGTTTTCCTATACATATCCAAATCCCAGCCTCCAGAGAACTGTAAAGGCTCGTGTACTACGTGAGGTCTCATTAATCTAAACCCCCACGGGAAATTATTCCTGTTTTTTCTTGCAGGTATACTACATGACTTGTCCTGAGATCACAGTCTCGTTCGCGCATTTCCCCACTACGCCCACGGGAGCCAAAGTAACGAGCATCGAACAAGCGACGGGCACTTGCATCGAGCACGCCAGGGTCGAGCGGGAGCCCGTCTACCTCTGCACCGCCGACGGCCAGTGGTCGCTGCTTACCGGGGGCTGTGTGTGCATGCCAGGCTACCAGGCCAACGTTGAAACTCAGACCTGTGATGGTGAGTGCTCAAATTATTACATTTAATACAATGCACTTCAAACGTCGTTTTTGTGCTTAATGAAAATTGTTGCCCAATCAACCTAAGTGATGAGTTCTAAGGTCAATCTTGACCTACGAGTGCACACGAATCTTTCTCAAAAGCTACTGGACAAATCACACTGGTGTTTGTCTGATCCGATTTCCTGCACCTAATGCCAAGGATTGTTATCTCGTGGCTCAGGATATATCCTAGGTTGATGATGCCAACGATTGTTGTCTCATGACTGTGATGCGGCTCAGGATATATCCTAGGTTGATGGAAGTCACGTGATGAGTTTCCCCTCTTGACGTTGTGCTCGCGTAAGGTCAATTTGTCTGTGTTGCCCCATCAAAGCTCGCCATCAAAGATTGATGGCCGGGCGCTCTGATGTGGAGCTTGTGGCTCTGCAGCTGCGCTTCCTTGTTATTCCTAATGATTCGCAGCGGCTGCTACTGCTGCTTGTTAAAGGTTTACGCCCATTCTGACTTGTGGTTCATAGTGATTTCTTTACAAAATTTGAGTTTTTTTTTGTTTCTGTCTGTGATATTGTTATTCACTTTGACTAATTTCAAATTGCTGTTGTAATTTGAAGATTGCACTAATTTTAAACGATGCTGAAAGTTGTATGGAAGATTTATTTTCTCGATACTTCCTCATTCAAAGATTTTGCATTCTCGTGCATTCACGGAAACCGGAAAATGTTACGAAATTTGGTTATCAGTGAAGCTGATGACCACGGTTATTTTTTCTGTGCTCGTTGGAAAGGTGCACGTATTTGATTGTTTTCTTATCTGATTAAATTTCAGTCTCGTTAGAAGTATCATTCGCTTTGTAATTCTGGGCATACATTAAACAAATTTCATAACATCATTTTTGTTTTCACGCCGTTCCTGACAAAATGAATTGGAGACGAAAAATCATTTAACTGGAAGAATTAATATACATTGAATCGTTCTAAAAAAGGTGTGGCCACTTTCAGTTAAAAATGCTTATGAAAATGAACGATTAATTTAAAAACATTTATAACCCAGAAGCTATATAAAATAGATACCAAACTCCCAGGAGCAGCCTCGTTAAAATTGCGTTTCTTGTTCACGTTTGAGTTGCCGAGAAGAGATGCGTCAGGTTCGGACCCCGAGGTTGACGTTAACGACATCTCTGGGGCCTCAGGGTATTGTATTGTCTGGTCGGTGTACGGTGAAGTTCATGTTCAATGCTTCGAACAAGAATATTTTTGTATGAACACGCCTTAATTATGGAAACGTTGCTTCAAATTTATGACTTAAGAGCAGTGCGTACTTGTGAAGATTATATTAATTTGTTTGCGTTGTATTATTGGATTTCATTATTGTGAGATTTACAGACGTTCGTCAAGGGTTTAAAGTCGCGATTGATCATTTTAAGAAACATTTCACGTTTCATGGAATCGATAGCATTTACTGAAAGGTCAAGTCAACTTCTAAAGTTCTCAAATACTCTTCAAAATATTTGAATAATGAAAATCCACGAGGAAATCTCAACTATCCCTGTTTGTGTTGATATTGACTAAGTTTTTGTTTTGAAATTATTTTACACGTTTATGTTATATACCTACGCTACATTAAATATTTCGCCGCCAAGAGTATCTCTGACATTGACTAGCTTCAAGTTCAGTTTTGGTTATTGTAAACGCCCTGACACACGAGCCGCTACAGCAGCGCTCCCATGTCTCCAGGGATGGCGTAATTGGTCGTCTGAAGACTGCGTGCGCTCCAAACCTCGATCCATTGCAGGGGGGAATCCAGCGTTCGCTTAATAATGAAGAGAAATGACAGCATCTTTTGCATTCATATACATAGCCGTGTTGCGAGAAGTATTNAAGTCATTTCGCTGTCGCTCCACGGGCCCATGGAGCTGGTGGAGCTGTAGCAGCGGGGTATTCGGTAGCCGAGATCACCCTTTAGGTTTTATGAAAAGTTCGTTATTGAAATTTTAGTTCTTCATAAGGTTGTCTAGACAGGAGCTAGAATACATGACGTTGTGGAGAAGGTTGCGTGCTACGAAGGAATTTTATTTTTCGGAAATAACATGGATTAGCTGTCAGATATAGTGCTGGTCAGGCAAAAGGGAGCTCGTAGCATGAACGTAGAAAGCTGGACATAGCGAAGAAGGAGACTACGAGGGTTGGGTTTGCTCGTTACGTTTTATTGAGGGTCTGGTGTTAGGCTCACTGGATGAGCTCCCCTCATTCTCCTTCCCTCAGTTTGTGCCTCATTAGTGGCCCGGACGTGCTAGGAGAGGCAAGTGCTTCGCCAGTCCGCTTCTCCGGAAGGAAAATATCGTCCGTAAACAATCCTAAAGGCCGGATATCTTTTGGTCCGTTCCTGTCGGGACTGGCGATTGAAGCTTTTTTATTTGCCGTCTGAGTTGTGTCGATTTGGCCAGAGAGGCCGACGATTTGTTCGAAGCGATTGGCTACAAAACTTTTTAGCTCATAATCTAGAATCAGAAAAGTTTTTGCTGCAAGAACACGAGACGCCAGTAACAATTAGGCACATTATTATCACCTCCTTTGCTAGGACGCATACGTCATGGCTGATATTTCCTCCATTTACAAAAAAGTATTATTTGGCTCGCCTTAATTAAGAGGATTCATAACCACCTTAGATTTTTTATTAAATTTGCAATTTCATTTTTGTACTTTCCAAACGGTAAATTTTCTTATGATTTCTCTCTCTTATCACGAGCATTTACTTTCTGCACAAGCTAAAGAATGACATTGTAGAACCTTGTTTTTTTTTCCTACTGTGAGTGTGTCAGTAGGACGTTACCGTGTCCGGCCCAAAATTTTTGCGGTGACCAACACTTCCAATATAAACAATGGTCTCTCACGTAAGCACAATTAAAAGTTTCCTTTGAGTCCCGCCTTCTCTCTTCGACGCCTGCAGGGAGTTCCGACTTCAAACTTTTTCTCTGCCATTAGCGCTGGACATTCTTTGCTGATATCCTGACTTCCTTCTCTGTGCTTCAACCAAAGCAACGGGTACTGGTAGTTCCAGATGCTCATTCCTCCACGCATGGATAGAAGCCATAACTCTTAACTCTCTCTGGTTATGGTCGACTAAATATCTACTATACTCGTTCAGATTACTTGCAGGTCTACTATGCATTTCAAGGGAAGTGTAATCTATACTAGGTTAACTTGCCGAGGTAGGTTAGTGCGGCGGTGCCGAACAACCAGTGTGGCATTCTAATCAAACGTTACTCTGAGACAAGACGTTTCTTGAGCGAATTTTAGTCTTAAACACTTAATTTTGACGATGTTTGCCGCTCAGATTGGCAGGTACAAAACGATTGTACCTTACATCGAAAAAGTTTTTTGCTTCCAATTCAATCAATCTTTTATTTGTGAGTTTTTAGCTTAAAATTTTGGAATTTCACCCATTTTAGGGGCAGATTACTCAGCAATCATCATTATTATTAGAGTGAAAGAGAAGGTTTAGAATTTAGATTGTTTCTTCCTCTATTTTCTTTCCCATTCTCAACTTATGTGTCCCGCTAAGAATTATCCCAATGCACACAAAAAGTGCGTCGTGTGTTTAGTGTTTAAAGCATGGCTATGACTCGAACTTATTTTGAGTTCCTGGTTTTCGACGTCTGTATCGGTGCTCCTGCCTCTCAACGCGATACCCTCTTGTTGGAAGTAAATTACTAGTCCTGCTTGTCCCTGTTGCCGCCGCGATTGTTTGCCTTACCTCGAGCAGGTCGCATTGGGACGAGGGCAGGCTCTCCCCTCGTTTTCCTCTCAATAGCCCTCAATGAAAATTACCGCTACTTTCCTACTGCGTAAAATTTGCCCTTCATTGACGTGCGCTCCTCAATGAAAGACGGATTCTGAATGCTCCAAATTGCTGAGCTAAGTCTGCCATTATTGAGCTTTTGCTCTCAGTGAAAAGGCTCGCTTAACATATCTTACCTCGAAGAAACGTTCCCATTATTGGACGATTGTTACAAAAAATTCAGATGTGGATATAATACCGTCGCTCAGTCGATGACATCTCTAGTGGATAATTTACCTTAGAATGAAATTCTTTAGAATCTACAAAGAAATGTTAAAAACATCAGAATTGAAAGAAATAGAAATTACTGATGTCTAACTAGCTGTGATGACTTTTAATTATACAATTTGCATTTATTTAACCACAAAATCAAGTTCCACTCCGTTAATTTATGTCATTTGATGAATTTCTACGTTGTCATGTATTTTTCTTCTCGCGTGACGTACACTGGTGTAAATGGGCTTTGAAGAAACGTGAATCCCATGTGGGACTTATTTGCATCCGAGTTAGGTTGATGACATTTCTTACAACTATTCGACTCGACATCAGGTTGTTTGAAGCGGTTTCCTCTATTAAAACCCAATTTCTACTACGGTGTACTTTTCAATAAGGCATGAAGGTCGATTTTGTTTCTTGAATTACTGTGAAGCCATCAATAAAACTCGTTGTCGAGAAAGCTCTCTGTACAAGATCGTGTGTTTTGGTGCCCGTAGCAGGCAATATGAGGTCGAGGATGTGTGCTGGTCTGTGATGGCTCTGCATTATCTGGTCCCTGGGTCGCTATTGAACTGAATGAACGCAACACGCCTGAGTGCAGCTCAAAGCTGCCTCTCGGTCACATCTAAAAACTGTAACGATTGCATTGAGGCGCATCGCAGCGCCTTAATGCTCCTGTTTCTGAAGCCTCCTTCATGAATTTTGATTCGAATTTATTTTGCTTCTCTATGGAAGCTTCAAGTTTGTTATTCTATTTCACGTCTCCTCTGGCCTTGACTCCAATTTATTTTAATTTCCTTGTCTACTAACGGTTTCGAATAGCTCTGCTGACGGTTTAAGACGCGCCGATAGAGAGTTTAGTAAGGTTCATTTATTATCTTTATAATATATCTTGCTTTTGCTCAAGTTATACTTTCCTTGTGGAATTCTTCTTGAAAGAAAACTTTTAATTTTTTCTCACATTTTATTAACGATTAATATTATCTTATTCTCCTGCAAGTTGTATCAGTTTTCCCTAATTATACAGTCGTATTTCCTAGTCACATATTGAAGCTAGCTTATATTCGCCGCGTTGGAAACGCTGTTCGTTTTGTTTTTTGTTATCCACTGAATTTCTGACGAGAAGAACGATATGTCTCCTAAAGGCGGAGCAGGGAATCGTCGGCAGCTGTTAGTTAACCTTAAAGGGTGCCTTGTCCACCTGGCGGTTCATAGGAATGTAATTTGGTAAACGTTCATAATTTTAGAGCTAGAAAGCGGAGTAACTTTTATAAGTGTCAAGGGATATTCTCATTAATTTTTTTTTCTTCTTTGCAGATCTACATTCCTTACCTAATATATTAATTAAGTTAGTATGGATTATAAATTTTGTCCATGTTCCACGGAATGTCCATGTTTCGTGCTCTCTTTCGTGTTCAAGTATATTTCTTGCTCCTTATTTTTTTGCATGTTTATTAGCATTCACGTAACGTAGCGTGCTGAAGCCGGTATGCTGATATTAATATTGCTTGTTCTCTCGCTAATAAAGCATTCCCACTAACCTGGATACATTTTCTTCTCTCATTTGTTCAGAAAATAGTGAAATGTATAACTCATCTCAGCAATTATTTCGAATTTGTGCTCTATTGTTTCATTTTTTCTAAGTTTCATCATCTTTTACAAGCTACCAGCTGTATATAAAGTAATTTTTCTCTACTTCTTCCATTGATTTTGAACTTCTTACGCTTATTTTGGCGGACATTCTATGTATTATTTGGGAGTGATTTAAAAATAAGTACCTGACTTGGAATATTGAAGGGGGTCCTGTTTTCCCCGGAATTCTAATCTTTGTAGGTGTTCATGAAAAATCATCATAATGGCAATCATTTACTAACTGATTAATTATTTTTCCAGTTTTTCCGAAATGTAGTCTTGGTGATCCGATTTGTTGGTTGTGCTGAGTGGCTTCTAGTGAAATATTGGCTCGCCTTTTCTTTGAACGCCATCAAAAATTCGAGCCTGAAAATTTTTTCCCGTGCGTTGTAGCCCCAAGTTCGCTCAATCAGAGAGGCAGACGCTTTCGAGCATCACTGATGTGATCGTCACTCGGAGTTATTTTATTTAGGATTTTGACGGCACTTGAGTTGATTGGTCGACTCGTGAGGAAAACCATCACTGTGCGCGCGCCGTATTTCAATGCCGTACACGAACTGAGCTAAAAAATAACGAAATCGGGCTTGCCTTCCTAATATCACTTAAATTTTCCAGTTTGCAATGGCATAACGCGAACATTTTATTGCGTAAAATTAGAAAATTGAAGTGGCTTTTTATCTCTATTTGTTGTGTGTTGTATACCTGGACGTCGTTGTTAATGCTATCCGCGTGTTAATGCATCTCCCAATTCTGTATGATTGTTAGTCATTTTTCACCATTATTGAATTTCTTTCCCTTAATTCTTTTCCGATTTGACCTGTTTATTGTGGAAATTGTTTGTCTCTGAATATATCTCAACTACAATCTTGTATGTAATCTTAAGAAAATAATTTCTTCCCAAGAATTTTACTAAGGCCGAATAATACTTGTAATAAATACGCATATAGTAGGCATTGTAAAAACGTTCAATCCACATTTTCTGAACCATATTTCAGTTAATTGCTTCATACTATATTATCACTCGAACTACAATATTATCACCCAAACATTAGTTGCGCCTTCTGATGTCCATGCGGAAATTCGTTTTTACCGGCACTAACTTGATTATATTGAAATGTTGAAATTGCTAAAGTGCAGCGTTGGCCTAGTAGTAAATTTTTTAACCATTTATGGGATAGAAGCATTTTAGAAAATAACAAAGCAATCTGGAAACTGTTCGCTTGAAGTAAGTGTGGCCGGCATCTTAAAGAGAGCCTCTCAATAGAATTTAAGTGCATTATTGCCGGATCTTCTGGAAGTGATGTTTTATTCGAACTCCATCCATAATTGAAAGCGTTTTAGCGCCTATCGGGAGGACATTTTAGAAATCCATTTCATCGCTGGTCTGTGCATAGCGCCCTAAGTATTTTCTCAAATCACGCCTGCTCAATTTCCCCTTCAACTTCAACACTCGGCCTTTCGAAAATTCGGTGCAAATTTGTCTGCAGATTCTCGGCTTTAGAAGAATGCAAGTCAATCTGGTCGATTTTTTTTCCATACGAATGTAATCTCCCGTTGCAGTGTTCTTGTAAATGACATAAAGCACTTGAATGGTTGCGAAGAACGATTTCTTGTAATTTGTTCTCCTGAGATCTGATTTCAGTGCTGGTTCAGTCCTCGACCAGGTATGGATTGATCTGTGTATGTTATTTTTTGTCCGCTCATAGCCTCAGACGATTGTTTTGTGTTCTCGCGACGTTGAAATGAAAATGAAAGTTGTTTCAAAATGCACGTACATATTTGATACTATTTCATCAAATAATATCTCTAGGATAAGGATCATTCAATCAATAGTCAAAAATTTTATTGGTACGGAATTTGTATCAATATCTTGCTTGCTTAGAGATAATATATAAGATTTAAAAGAAAAATCTACCCGACTCGCGTATCAGGGTCAAATTCGGCTTTACTTAATCTAATTTATGGAGTTGATGGATATGCATATAGTCGCCGCGTATGTTTCAGCACTTTATCGTGAAGCTTTAGTACCTCCCCTGTGGTACCTATATCTTCTGGGTGAGTTATAGTGGAAATTAAATAATTGGGTTGATTATGTAATGATTAGTACCAGCAGTTTTTTCCCTAGGTGTTGACCCTCTTGGTCAGTACATTCATTGGTCGTCCACATTTTTCCTTGTATGGTTTGTTGAAAAAATAACTTTTATTGATCGTTTTGAATAATTTGTTTTTGTTGGTGCGTGCAGTGTGTCCGCCTGGTCAGTTCAAGCACGGCGTCGGGGAACTGGAGTGCTCAGGGTGTCCGGAGCACAGCGCTGCCCCGCACTCCGGCTCCACTGAGTGCCGTTGCGACACCGGTTACTACCGCGCCAACCACGACCCTAAGGACATGCCTTGCACTCGTCAGTACAGTGATTGCAACTTAGTATCTCTTTTTATACACTTTCCCTTTTCTGAATGTAATCGAGGAGGATGAGATGATATTTTTCTCATAATTTGATTAAAAATTTATATCGTCTATATGAACATCTGGATAATTTTCATGTATTTTTGGAGATTTGAAGTATACGTTTCAAGCTTTCTTTATTGCGGAATCCATAATCTGAATTTGATGCGTATGAACCTCCTATTGCTGTGCTGTTCTCATGCAGCACACGGCCTTCCTTTGATTAGGATTAATCTTTGAACATCATAATACGTACCAATGCCTGATTTTTTTACATTTTATTTTGAAGTATTATTTTCTCTCAAAGAAATTTCCCGATTTTTCAATGTACTTTAGAATCAGGTTTCTTGTGACTCTCGCCCTGTAATCATTGACTTGCTACAATTCATCATCATTATCATTAATGATATAATTTGTCATAATTATTAATTTATCATCATCATTTGTGTGATCATAGTACAAGACTTGTGTTTGCACAGGCCCTCCCGGCAAGCCGCGCAACCTGACCGCGACGGTACTCGACCAAAGCACCGTGGAGCTGTCGTGGCTACCGCCGCTGCTGCACGGCGGCCGCAGCGATACCGTGTATAGGGTCGTGTGTGATGCGTGTGGCAGTCAGGTGGCTTTCGTGCCTCCTCAAGTGGCTGAGGTGAGTGCATTTGTGTGGCATTTCTTTGACATTCGGCTAGGCTGACTTACATCATTACATGTGATGACCGTACAGGCGATTGTTTTTCATAATGCACCGTCCAAAGCCGAAGTATGTTTAAAAAAATCAATTTTCGCAATATACTTTAGAGTTTCATTAGGACACAGATTTCAATTTATGAACTTTAACAACCATCCTAGTCTGGTATGGTTATTAAAGCTGTAGCTGGAAGTTATTAAAGCTGCAGACCGACAACTTCCAGCAAGCTATACCATCTCATTACGCCTAACTAATCGCCCTTCACCTATCATGCACCTGCAGGAAGGGTTCAACACCACAGACGTGAAGGTGCGCGGGCTGAACCCTGTCACGGCCTACCGCTTCCAAGTGATCGCCGAGAACGGCGTCTCGGACCAGGCGCCTCACCACTCCAACGTGGCCGTCACCGTCACCACTGAGGCTGCAGGTGCGCTTCTTATTTATACCGTAACATTTGCGTTGTATCAGCCTGTCCGTATTATTCTCAACGGCAGATATGCATTCTTACCGTCACCACAAATGCTGCAAGTGTGTTTCTCACTTATACCGTAACATTTGCGTTGTATCAGCCTGTACGTATTATTCTCAACTGGAGATATGCATTCTTATGAGTAGCTTAGTGACGTACTGTATCTTGTGTGCCTTATTGTCACACTCGTTCAAAACTGACAGCAATTTCGGAGCCGCTGACTAACTGTAAATATCAACACGATTAGCTCCACTATTGTGCATTGTCACGCACCTTTTTAAATTGCATACCTACTCTTGTTTTTATCATAGGATTTAATTATTTCCGGTAACAATTGTCGATATTTACTATTATCACTTCTAGATTTTTCTATAAGTATTTTATTTTCAATTATCCCAATTTTAATTTACATGAATAGCTTTTAATAGCCTCCAATGTCTCCTGCGATGTAGCGATTTTTAATTTTGCGTTATTTGGTTTATTAGGCTGGTATTAGAGAATATTTTAATGATATCTTTGAATGATCTAAACTTCTAGTTTAGATATGCTCGGGTGTCGTCTTCTTCTTATATTGTCATTTGGTCGTTGTCGATAAAATTAACTGTTAGATATGATTTGCATCAGGACTCTGATATCGTATTGATACATTGCTTAATTTTGATTCATGGACCTAACATCAATTTCCGCAAGCGGATTTCTTTACAAACAAAAGTTTTGTATTTCCTACTGAAAAGCCAATGTATTCTTCACATCAGCTCAATTTACCGCTTAAACGTCGGCGATTTGTTGATAACGATTTTGATTTATTTCAACTCGTGCAAAAATTTAGCTTATGGTCTTTCTCAATAATTTCATGAGAATTCCCAAACTAAATATATTGATTAGCATCTATGGTTCATTGAGATTCATTCTGTGCCATGAAAATGATTCGGAATGTATCATCTTACGCCCGTATTGTGATTATTAGTGTAGGTATTGCTTTGGAGCTGTGACCGCAGCTAATATTATTTGCATATGAATAACTCTAATTGCAGCTTATATCTTTCATGTCTGTAAACATTATTGCACATAGTTCAGTACCTGAAACCTAGAAGTCGCTTAGTTAGTAACATATTCATGAGAATAATAACTCGCAATTAGAAATTACGTACGTATGTGGGTTTCTCAAAACCTCGTATGTGGTAGTGTTGATGTACATTTTGCTCTGTTTCGTATTTAGCTCATGTTGCGAAACACGCATATAAAATTATTCCCATCTTACTTCAATTTACAGGGAGCTTTCGCGCCCTACCTTCCGATAACAAAGGTACGTCAATATTTCGGTATAGTGTGTTGTAAATCTTGTTTCTGTTGGCAAAAACAGCCTGTCTCGACAAGCTCTAATGTATTTTTTTATTTCCCATCCAAAAAGTAAACTTTAAACTTACTATGATGATGAGATCGTAGAAACATAAGTGTAATCCAGTTTTTTCTGCGGTTAAATTTAGTTTTATTCCGTGTTTGATGTATTTTTAATATACTTTGTAGGACCGTCGATGGTTCGCAACGTGCGCATCACGAGCGTCAAAAGCACCGAGATTTCTCTTGCGTGGCAGCCACCGCTTGACGCTGCGTCGGAGGTCGAGATGTATGAGGTCGGTTATCATCACCATGCCGTATTTTTAATAAATTTATTTTTTTGGGGTGCTATTGCTTTCGACAAAGCGAGAGGATCAAATCAGACTGTTTTCATCTTCTGATCTTGCCATGCAGTGTTTCGTGTTATCAGATTCGCTGCTTTGGATGTAGTTTAAACATAAACTAAATATAATCGCTTTACAGTTGCTAATAATGTTTTGTTTATGCACCTCAATTGTGGTTTTAAAATTTTTTTACACCATCGCACACGATGTAGCTATCATCTATTTTTGCTCCATTTTTCGATATTACTGACCGACAATATTCTTCACTGGAATGACGATGTGATTAAGTCTATCCCCCTTCTATGTTTTCATTTTATAATGGGTTTCAAAAGGGTGGCACTCATTCATGTACGTCGTTGAAAATAGGTTTAGTCAATAGTGCCAGTATATACGAGTATACTTCACTAAATGAAAAAATGGAATGGTTACTTGCCTGTCGTATGATGGTATGTTCTGCTTCCAATCACTAGGCTTGACCACAGTTTTCCTGCCCCCAGGTACAATATTACGTGAAGGGCCACGAGAACAACTCGTCCACCATCCTGACCACCAAGGAAGAGTCTTCCCTCGCTGGCCTGCGGCACCGAACTGTCTATGGCTTCCGGGTAGGTTTGATATATTTAATAGCACCATCTAAATATTTTATTCCTTTAACGTATCAACTAGTTACGATCAAAAAGGACTTCTTTGCTCAATATAGCTCGTTGATGTTAATGACTTCATTTATGTTGAAATCTCATTATTTAGATGAAGAATAATGCAGCGAATGATAACAAATACTAGTACGAGATATACCGATTTCGTTACTCGTAAAATGCCGTAATTTTAGTAAGAAAGTAATCAGCTTCCACTCAAGTGGGATTACATTACTACTGTCTGCGACTAGGCTTCTATACTTCATTCATATCATTTGTCCAGGTACGGGAGAAAACTGTTGCTGGCTGGGGTGAATATTCTGCTCCTGTCTACAAAGAAACCGGACAACTTTTCAACACAGGTCTGAACTTGGAGTTACGTGTCAAAGCTTATGCCATTTACAGCTTATGCCACAATTGGATGATTTTCAGCTTATGCCAAAGCTTATGTAAATCTAGTTTTACATATTTTAGCAACCACACAAAACTTGGAATCATGTGGCAAAGACAGGAGTAAATATAGTTCAAAATTATAATGTTTTTACTTATCTATCTTCACTGTAATGAGGCCAAAATTCTACACCAAATTTTGAACTTTCTAACTAACTTTCTCAGTCAAGGCATCCTTAGCGAAAAAATTTTACTTTAGAAATTGAGTTAATAATATATAAAATTATTATGAAAAGAAAGAAACAAAATATTCGTGACAGCAAGCTTGCATGGCTACTTTGAATATAAAATGTAATGTTTCAATCGCAAAAAAAATCCAAAAAATCAGGTGCCATTTCTTCCTCTGTGAAATATATATTGTTACTTGGTGGATGAGCTTGTTGTTTAATAAATACTTGTGACCTATAAAGCTGAGAAAGGAAAATTATTAAAAAAGCAAAAGGTCTCACCTGTTGATGGAATTTTTTCTGTTGTAAATTTTTTTCTGTCTACGTCGGCTGAATATACCGTGAAAAAATTGTTATTTGATTAACTTTTTATACTTTCCACGTTATTACTCACGTAATTCCATTTCGTGCTTCTATATTTTGTAGTTTCAAATGAAATCGCCCCCTTTGAAAGTTTTCCAAGCCCGCATTTATGTTCAGCAGAAACACGGACGAGTGCAACAAGAAACAACCTTCTGACTGTGACACTCTGGAGTACAGGAATGGTGAAGGTAAGCACATTGCCTCATGGCGCATATAATCAAAATTATTCACTTTAGGTAACGAATATATCGCAACAAGCCAGACAATTCAAATATGTTATAATAGCAATGTGCTCCGACCATTATTCGGAAACTCTAATATTGTGCACTATTACTTCGTACAAATTTGAAACATTACAAAATTAAAAAAAAATGATTATTTTGGAAATCATTAATTAAATAATAAAAGTCAAAGCATTTCGTCGGTGATAATTATGTCTGTTTCAATTGCTGTTTCTTGCGGATCAGGACTCGTAGTCACCTACAGCAAATGTGAGTTACTTTGTGCATCGCGAGTAATTTCGTGGCGTTCTTTTTACCAGTTGCGCGTGATCGTTTGCACTTGCTTCCATGTTACTCGTTCTTTTAAGCGTGTAGCTCCTGACGCGTCAAACCATATATTCATGTATCATCAATTCTCCAATGTTTCATTTTTGCTGTGTAGGATATAGATTTGTACCTAAATTTATATTATTTTGTAAGGGATTTTATTGCTCCTAAATTGCTTTAAATGTGTGATTTTTGCACAAGATTTTCGTTTTGTCTATTTTTATCGTTGCACTTTAGTGATCATTTATGGCAAACCCTCTACGTTTTGATGAGCTCAAATAGTCGTTTGTTAGCTACTCCTCGGTTTTTGTTGCAATGTCGGGGCTATATTATTCATTATAATGATTCACGCACGAAGAAATTACTCTTTTACTATATTATTGCACGGCATTCTTATTAGCATTCGTCTTGCCCGTATGAAAATTCGCTCAAACGCTTCGTGTGTCAATCAAGTTTCATATGCATGCATAAACTTCCTTTAAATAATTTTTTATCCCTCATCCAGTTTTTCACAAAATTGGTGCAGGTACATTCAGAAAAATGATAAGTAATATTTTGCCTATAGTCTCACACTATCTGCCCGTATCTCTCATCCGCCTTTTCACCAGTCAACGGAGAAAATTGCATTAGGAAGATTCATTTGAAGAGAAAAAATGCACCTCTATTGTCCGAAGCCTCGCTCATATATTTTGAATGTGCGATCAGATTTTATTCAGTTACATAAATGGTTAGCGTTCATATAGAAGAAGAAAATTGGAACAATTTCCTCACGAATCATTCATATTCAGATAAGTTTAGCAGCACCACAATTAGCTTACAACAAGAATGCCGCAATTCTTGCAGTTATGGAATCAAATTGAGCTTCCTTAGTTAGACATGATTATTTATTACCTTGTCTGCGCATGGTTCGCTCAGTGTGCTCACTTTGCTTACTGTTTTGTAGTTTGCTCTTTTGGATGTATTTACAGGCTATTTTCGCAACCTATTTTGGTTTCGTTATATTTAAATATTGATTGTACAAGATATTTTTAGGAATATAGACTAGTCAATTTTTTTTTTTTAAGATTTTGATTTTGCTTCTTATTCTGGCCATTTATTTATTTATCTATTTTTAATCGCGCCAAAGTTATCTTACTTTAGCTAGAAGGGCTTCTAGTATTAACTTGAATCGAGTTATACTCGTAAGACGTCTTGTTTCCTGATGGTTTAACTGAATTATTTTGGTGAAAAAATTTATTAAATTTCATTGAAAAATAATTTGCTTGCACAAACAATGAAGCCCAGATTAGCTTGCCTTACCTCCTCCACTGTAACTCCCCCATAACATCTAAATCTCTCAAGTATACTTTCCTCTTCCCTGTACAACCGAACATATTCCTAGACCTTTCATGTACCCATATTTTCCTAGCGTAGTGCCCCCTGTAGCTTTGTGTTCTCTACCCCCACAGTGCACGGAGTGCTGGAGAACCCACCCATAGTACAGACTCACACGGCTGGCAGCAGTGAGTATATATGCCCTGTGATGGTCTGTAGCTTTACTCCTGAACTGATGGTACAGACCACACGGCAGGCAGCAGTGAGTATATATACCCTGTGATGGTCTGTAGCTTTACTCCTGAACTGATAGTACAGACCACACGGCAGGCAGCAGTGAGTATATATACCCTGTGATGGTCTGCAGCTTTACTCCTGAACTGATAGTACAGACCCACACGGCAGGCAGCAGTGAGTATATACCCTGTGATGGTCTGTAGCTTTACCCCTGAACTGATAGTACAGACCACACGGCAGGCAGCAGTGAGTATATATACCCTGTGATGGTCTGTAGCTTTACCCCTGAACTGATAGTACAGACCACACGGCAGGCAGCAGTGAGTATATATACGAGTATATATACTCTGTGATGCCCTGATTTCAACTTTAAACTGAGTAAAGCGTAAAGCCGGAAGAAATTCAGCGCAATAATGCTGTCAGAGACGTATATCCAATTCGGCATAAAACTATCCCGCGTTAGCCTGTAAATAAGTGTCGGCTAAATGGTAGAAAACTTTGAAGTATTCGTACTATTCGTTTAACTATGCTAGTCGTTTAATAATTGTGTCGTATTTTTTTCCCAACGTTTTTATCCGAATTACTTCTGATTGAGCGAACGTGAATGGTCTTGGAATTAACGGTCGTGTAGTTGCCCTCCTTCTAATAGCAGCACATAATTTATACGTCGTTCACCTGTACACCTCATCTACGTAGCAAGAACCCATTAATGTTGTACTATATTTTCCAATTGACTCATTACTACCGTTAGCTTCCTATGCAGGAAATACACTTAGTGAAATGATTGCACCATTTCCGAATGATGCACTTTTTCAATCATTTGTGGTTCATTTTGACCCTGTTTGGCCTGGCAAAAAGACGCAGCAGTCTCCTCATTGTTCGTGTCGTGGGTGAAACCAATCATGGTTTTTATATCGGCCCCAATTATTTCCTTGAGTGCATATTAAAAAGTTTACCCAATTTATTTCATATCGGGAATAAACTATATTATGTACATTTTTAAATAAATTCCCGAAATTATTTTTACGATACGTGATTATGCTCTAACTGTAACGTTCAATGTTCTTCTAAACACTTCAGCTTGCTATCCCTGAATGTTGATATGTTTATTATATTAGTTTCTGATCTGGTGAGCTTAGCTGCACCCACGCAAAAACTGGCCGAGCTATGCAATGACTCAGAATATAGCGTTTTTTTTTTTAAATTACAGCGTGACATTGTTATTGAATTTGAGTATCAAATAATATGCCCCACTGTTTCTGCAGTGACTGCACCTCTCTTCACCCCCGCGGGCCACCATCGCACCTACATCGACCCCCACACTTACGAAGACCCAAATCAGGCGATCCGCGAGTTCGCGCGCGAGATCGACGCGTCGTACATTACCATTGAGGCGATTATTGGCGGTGGCGAATTCGGTGACGTCTGCAAGGGCAAACTTACCTTGCCTGGCCGACCTGAGATGACTGTTGCCATCAAGACTTTGAAAGTGAGTACATTTACATCACAGTTCTTGACATTTCTTGCACCATAGTCCTGGGTCAGAGAGTTGTTAGAGCCCAATCTTTCCAGTGTAGCATGTCCGTAGAACTCTTGGATTGTTATCTGAATACGACCTAATTTTCTGTTGTTATTTTAGTAAATTGAAACAAAAAGGTATGGTGTTATACTCTCAGACAATCCCGTGACTTATCACAGTAGAAACGATTCTTTATCCGCTTTCTCGTACCATGAAAATGAATTCAGTTCTTTAGATTTGCATTAAGACAGTTCTGTCTCTGCGTGGGAATCGAATCTTGTGAGCTTTTTTTCGTTATTTTATTTGCTACTTTATCGCTTTGCTACTTTGTCTTCGTGTCGACAAAGACTTAGGATTGTATCACATTATGCTCTAGTTCTTAGTCATTATGTCTTCAAATACCAGGTAATAAACTCATCATGTCTTGTATTGCAGCCCGGATCATCAGACAAGGCGCGAGTGGACTTCTTGACCGAAGCCTCTATCATGGGGCAGTTCGAACACCCGAACGTAATTTTCCTACAAGGCGTCGTGACCAGAAGCAATCCCGTCATGATCATCACCGAGTACATGGAGAACGGATCGCTCGATCACTTCTTGAGGGTAGGTTCATCTTTGATACTCAAATGATAACTTATTAATTTCATATAAACTTATAATAAGAGTGTCGGTAACTTTTGTGGAGTTGCAGGTCGTTTTCCAATTAGTAAGTTCATTTTTCAGCAAGCTCCGTGTGCAACAGCTTTAGTTATCAGTGCTTAGTTAAAATTAGTAGCTATTTTATAAAAGTTTTAAGTAGCTACTATCTGAAAATGAGTAAAGTAATCATCACTAATTTTACTCATTTTTCGGCGATCCTATTTTTTACTAAAACCTTTTTACCAATTTGTCTGCACAATTTTAATAATTTTTCAGCACTCGTCTCTATTTTTTCTCGTCAACCTCGTATTAAAAGTAAGAATATTTGCAGGTGAACGACGGCAAGTTCCAGGTGCTGCAGCTGGTAGGGATGTTGCGTTGTATTGCGTCAGGCATGCAGTACCTCAGCGAGATGAACTACGTACACAGAGACCTCGCTGCCAGGAACGTGCTTGTCAACGCCCAACTCGTCTGCAAGATTGCCGACTTTGGCCTGTCCAGAGAAATTGAGAGTCACACTGAGGCAGCTTATACCACTAGAGTGAGTTTCGTGTAGAGGGAATAAATGAGTTCTGTTTGTCAAACATCAGCGGGAATAAATACAGTATCGTAAATTCCTCTTAACATAAATTGCATTGATTGAGTATCTCAAAGAGGAAATAAAAAAATATAACTCAGTACTCACTGCAGTGAGTGAAAGAGAGCGCATTTTCTCGTCCGTCCGTGACGAAATCACGGACGGACGGATATGACGAGCACACGAGCGCCTTTTTTTCTATAAATGAGAAAATGCGCTAAAAATGTATTGGGTAGGTATTGCTTTGAATAATTGTTTCCGTTTATTTTTTCTCTTTGTACGTAATGTTTGAACTTTTGGAGTTAATGGGTTTAATGGGAGATGTTTTGGTTTCGGATGGATTTCAGTTTCAGGCGTCGCAGTACCTGTTCGAATCTATTGAGATCCAACATTAAGTAGTTCTAACTGTTAATTATAAAATTCTTCATTTGTTACTGCATAAGGCGTACGCTGTAAACCTAAAAATGGCAATTTAATGATGGGATTCAATAAAAAATCATCAAAAATGTAGTCTTGGTTTATTGTATTCTATTTTATTAACATGAAAAGCAGCTGAAGCGGTTCGTGATGTAATCCTGTTCTTACTTACTTTGTATACAATATTTAAACAAAAGCGGTATCCGTTCAAACCTGCTGTTAGCATTAGAGTTACAACTCTCTTATAAATTTTCGATTATAGATTCAATATAGGTAAGCTTATAATCTTATACGTTTAAGAGATTATAACTTACCGGACTGAAGCCTCATTTCCAAAGCCCTTCCTACCATTTTTCCTCATCTCATGATTCCGCCATTAAAAAATATCCCACATAAGAATTCCACACTAGCAGTATCGTGAAATTGCTCTCAAACAGCCACCTTCAAATTTCATTTTCACGTTTCAAATAGACCTTCCAACACGCAAACCCTCACAGACATATGACAGATTACCAATGAGGAATAACATTTGGAAGCCCTCGAGTGTATCTGTGTTCACACTACTTTAAAAATACGTTAAGAATTTATTGTAAATTTTCTTGGTGTTTAGGGCGGCAAAATTCCGGTTCGCTGGACGGCTCCTGAAGCGATCGCGTTCAGGAAGTTCACGAGCGCCTCTGACGTGTGGAGTCTCGGCATTGTGATGTGGGAGGTGATGAGCTACGGCGAGCGGCCCTACTGGAACTGGAGCAACCAGGACGTCATCAAGAGCATAGAGAAGGTCTGATCTTGTAATTAAATATTAAAAAATGGGTATTAAATCCTTGATTAATCTTCATAGATAGAGCTGCAACAGATTAAAAACATTAATAATGATTAAAATATCAGTAAAAAGCACAAAGACGTTACCGTTTAATGGTTGTCCGTATTGTTTTTAATTTTCTTACTGTTAAATACATATTGATTGATTTGTCAGTCTAAGCAAATTTCTGCTAAAAATAAAATAAACGCCTGAAAATGCGTTGAAAAGCGCCAGTAACTAAGGTCTTGTTTCGTATTTGGGTCATAAACATCGAGAAATTAACCTGTGGAATGATGGAAACAAATTATGATCTTATCTCAGAAAGTTTCAGTTAGGATTCGTTATTTACCTATGAAAATGCTCGAAATGTAAAATAATAATAATAAATGTAAAATTATGCTAAGAATATCGGTCTGTCAACTTTAGTGTCGCTCTGCTGCACAGTGCACACATGCCTCAGTTCACGATCACTCTACTCGTTTTTATTGACGAAGTGCCTCGGCGTGACTACACCTCCATGTCGTGTGCAGGGCTACCGCCTACCCGCCCCGATGGAATGTCCTGAGGCGATCTATCAATTGATGCTCGACTGCTGGCAGAAAGAACGCAATCATCGTCCGTCCTTCGCGTCCATCGTCCACACTCTCGACAACCTCATTAGAACACCTGAAGCTTTGGCCAAAGTCGCCCAAAACAGGTTTGTCCAAAATAATGTCTGCATACATTCGTTTGTAACTGTTATATATTGTACCAATCTTGGCAATTATTTTAAAATCAGTGGGAGTGCATGTTCAACTCCTTAGTGCATGTTCAACGTCGTGTTGTCTTAACCTATTTGTGACACTGCCTGTGATATAATATTTTCCTATTTGATCTGATGAGCAGGCCAAATATCGAAAATGATATTTGGACTTAACAACAATGTAATTGAAATAAAGCTTGAAAAAGCTTTTTTCTACTGTAATTGTTTTTAAGAAGTCGTACAAATAAATTGAATGTCCGAGCAACCTAGTAATACTTCAATTTGAATATAGTTATCATTTAGTATGCTGGTTGGCTGAAGGTGCCGCTGTTTTGTTAATGGTGTGCGCCCAGTGCGGTCAGACGGAGCTTTGTTTCTGGACCTAATATTGCTTTCGCTATTATTTCTTAGTGCACATCTTGATGTATTAATTGAATTCTCATTCATTCTCAATTTAATATGTAATTTCCTAAACTGCTTGTTGATAATTGGTGGGTTAATTATTTATATATACAATATGACTTATTTCATATTATAAACTGATTATTTTTTTGTGTCTTCGTAATTTCTAAACTCGTATTTACGACTGCATGCTTCCGTTTGACGTCGTCTATAGACCGTACATAAATAACCTTATAAAGCCCGCATTCTGTTCACTAATAACTCGTACAATTCGTGACGTCCTTTTTGACTTTAGCCGTATTGGTATATTTGACTTTTATGTAGCGAATAAAGTTTTTGGTTTAGAAGTACACAAAGCGTATCTGAGCTATCAATTTAGCCAGCTGATAAATATACTATCATTTATGGGACTAACTAACATCATTGCTCGTTTACAGATGCCAGACCGCTCTTGGTCTGGACTCTACAGACCTGACCCAGCTGGGCTCGGTTGAGGAGTGGCTGTCATCACTGAAAATGTCGCGGTATCTCGAGAACTTCGAGAGCGCCGGACTGTCAGACGTGCAGTCGGTGGCGCGTCTCAACCAACGCGACCTAACCACTCTCGGCATAACGCTCGTCGGTCATCAAAAGAAAATATTACAAAGTATTCAAACCTTACGAACGCAGCTTGCCGTCAGTATGGCTGAAGGATTCTTAGTTTAATAAGCTCACTCATTATAGATCTTTTCTAATCTCCGCTATGCGGGTTTCCGTATTATCTTTGCAACGTCTTCATCACGCACTAAGTTGCTTCTGTATAATTTTTTCCCCTTCCATATCCTTTTCTTTGTATGTTAAATTCTGCCTGGAACACTTGTTGAAAAAGGTGTGTGAAGTGTGTGAAATTATCGGAAAACTTGATTTCTTTAAAATATTTCATATTTTAATAATTTCATTGTTCGTTCATAGAAAGACGTCGATTAATTATTTGTGGTATAGTTGTGGTTAGAATTTATTTAATTCGAGCTGATTTTGTGCTATTGATAATAAGTCAGTTTATGTCATTTGATCAAATTAGTTTTCTCATAATTTTTATAGAATATTTCAAAATTATATTTCACAGGGATGATTTACAACACCATACTTATCTATTTAACATTTCTCTCAGTAGTTTGAAAGAAAGGAGTGTATTTTTAATTTATTTTGTTGATTGTTTTGGATATTATTTAGCCCCGAGCTTTGAACTATTTTAAGAGAGGAAATTATCGTGTTTTAGAGAGATGCTTCGTTGTTCCTAGAGACTCTGTGCTCGACTGCGAGTCCAAATTATGAACAACGTCTTAAATAATGACCAACTTGTAGTGTAATGATTCAATGCGTGGTATAGTACTAAATTTCATGGTAGTTATCTATTTAATTATAAAATTATTTTTTTTGGCGTTAATACTGCACTTATTTTTGTACTATCCTATGCATTTATGTTGAATTTGATGGCTATTTCTTTGCATCGTAAACAATTCACGCTGGCTCTGTATATTTCTAATCAATTTTAATTTCTTAAAATGTTTAACTTCCATAATAGACATTTATTGGACCAGTTTTACTTTCATAATTGTTTTGGATTACGGGCGTTTAGTTGGCTTTTGTTTTTGCTTCACTGTTAGTATTCTGTATCATTGCTTTCCTATTATCCATTTCTTTTACTTCAATTACAAGTTGGCAGTTCATACGCTCATTTTATAATTGCGTTACGTACACTCGCTCCTCCTGAAACATATCATTAGTCGCCATTGGTCGGCGTGCCTCAGCGTTCCATATTTCATGCAATAAATTACCTTAGAAAATTATTAACTCTACTTCGTAGTTGCGGAGGACCTTCTTGGCTATCGTACACGGCCGGATGTTTGCAGCCGCGCACTAATTATATGTAAATTTGTCCTGATTTTTTAGTGATTTTATCCAATCTAAAACTAATGTCGTTATCGAGCTTTATGAACCCGCTGTTTGTTTCTTGCTCTGCATATTTTTACCAATAACATCGATACTTAAAAGCATTTAATTGACTTTCATAAAAAGAGAGGTCTTAAGACTCATGTCTTAAGACTTTCAATAATAAATTGACTCCATTTCCGCGCTTTAGTTATTCACTTGTTGAGGAAAATTAAACTCGCATATAACAATCATGATACGAAGTTTTGTTTTCTGAAGGAAATTAAGTACAACAATAGAAACAGAAACGCTGTTATTTTGGAGCCTGAAGTATATGTCTGCGCGATAACTTATTCTTCATGTGCTAGCAGATTATAAAACAACCAAGTTTATGCACTCGGCAAATCAAGTTGTATGAATCAAATTTTCAATTGTTCCTTGCTGTTCATCTCTCGGTGCTGGCTTTGCTTCAGGAAAATAGTAATACCGTTCACTTATTTTAGAGGACGCCGAAGCAGCAATGGCTTCAAGCGACCGTTACTCAGATCAGTAGTCCATCCATGTTTTATTGTTGTATGGATAGCGTGTATTTTGAATACTATATCCTCTCTGTGTAGACTGATAGTGTGTCTATGATAATAACTGTTAATTTCATCGTCGTCAAGTAGATTACAAATTTCTATAATAATGATGATGAAAAACTGAGAAGGAAAGCTTCTTTGTACTCGTCAAGCCTGTGGTAGCAGCTTTATTTTCAGCGTCAGTTTCTACTCCTTACTTCTTGTCTTGGTGAAATAACTCGCGTATCGACGGCGTTCTCGTGCAGCTGCAATGATAGACAAAATCAAATTATTTTTTAGTTTATTGGGGATATCGGGTCTCTACTTGTTTTTATATTCACTATATTTACTTCTCTTAGACGCGTTTCGTAGGCAAATACTCTGAATTTATTTTGGCTTGGGTAAATTGAAGTTTGTTGCGAGCGCAGTGTGTAGCTTAGTGCGCCGCTCCTCGTAGTGCAAGCCTGCCTGCATTGGCTGAGATGTAAATAGGAAAATTTCTCTTTGATTGACTTTTTAGACTAGCTCATGTAATCCTTCCATGTTCATACTATTTTCTATTGTATATCATTATAATCTAAAGCTGTTGGCACGCGCGTCAATATCGTGCGTCCGAACTAAGATGATGAAAATTATATTGTGATGACGTAGCTTAAAAAGCTCAATGTTTAACAAAATCTGACTCTGACTCAATAAGTATTGCCGGATAATCAAAAGAGAACAGCCTTGGAACATCACAAAGTTGAACTTCACCTCTTATTATCTGCTTGATAGAAGCTCTTAATTGCTCATATAATCAATAGGTGACTGGTATTATATTAATGCTTTACGGAGTTCACATCGTAGAATGATGCAATTTTGTGTCTTTCGATAATTCTAAGGTTGACGAATTATTAAATAAAAAACTAATCAAAAGGCCCGTTACCTGAAGATAATGCCTTGGGTTAGTTATGAATTGCACAGTTTTGACGATTGGCGAGACTTTATTGGTCGTGTGACCGTATAACGAGGTGTGCTGTAGCGCTTAGTTCTCTATGTCACTGTGTCTGTGCAAGAAAACGTTTCTATCTTTTACAATTTCGTCCCGTCAGTTTAACAGTTTGCTAAGATGACGACAATGAGCACGGAGCTACTTCTTCATGACTAGTGAAATTGAAATGTGGACTATGACATGTTTGCCCTCTTGATACGAGGCAATTCTCGGTCCGATATTTTGCTCCTTACTTGGATCTGTGTGTGTTGTATGCGGCAGTGAACACGGCTGATTATTTTGCGCTCACAGGACCGAGTAGATCTCACAGTTCGGTCGATCGTCAAATATTATCAATGTTCTTAGCTTGCGACTAAGCGGGATGTTGTTTCACAAGCGAGTGCTGAGTGTACCATACTGTAAATAATTGAGATTTGTATAATAGTCCAGAATTATTTTCTATTTTTAGTTGATAAGATGACTAAGCTATCTCTCTCTCTCTTCTCTCGCTTTCTCTCTCTGTGTGTAGTCTCCCTTCTTGGCTGTGGACGAGTCAGAGGATATAGGCGCGGAGCTCGTGATGGACCCGCTTTAAGCGTCATACAATAGCTGGGAATTGGTTACTTACTCGCTAATTATATACATTCTTCCTCTATGAAGAAGAGACTGCTCTTGAGGTGTACATTGCTTATTGCTAGGTTCATGATCTTCATCCTGCCAAAGGTTCCGCTTGTGTGTATATAATAAATAACTGTCTCTACACATGCGTCTTCTTTGTCCTTGGCACGACTCAATGGCAGTTTTTAAGCTCTGGAAGTACTTTTGTTATTATGAGTCCGTCAAATGTTCGGTCAGAACATAAGCTTGAAAGTATTCTGAAATTTTCTTATTAAAGGTTCGAGCGCACAAGGTTTATTTTCGGAGACAAATTCGAAAAAGAGGAATTCCATAAGTGTTGCAGAACTTTCTGAACGGTTTCTCAGCATAGTTTTCATTTTCTGCTGATATGGTTAACTGCCTATTACATGTAGTTGCCGTCAACATATGAGAAGTTGAGACGACATTTTTACTGATACATCAACGTTTTACTCGCACCTAACTGTCATGTAGATACTCAACAGACGAGTAGTCGATACATTTTCTCGGTCGGTACAGCATTTGCGGAATGATGTTCAATGATGTTATTGATATTATATTTTTGTTTTCAATGTTCGATTAATGAGACTTCAGTCATAGCCAACAGTGAATAATTGAGCCACAAATTCAAGTTCTTCTTACACTTTTTGCGTCGATTTAAAGAAAGTTACAATTATTCCGAATAGGTCTATTTGTCGCCGATGAAAAATGTTTATTAATCCCCACTGAATTTAGCAGGTATTTTTAGCATGCAGGTAGTTTGCTAAAAATATTTATCAAATTAAACAAAATGCTCTCAAATGAAGGTGTAAGCTTAGGGTTGAAAATTGTTGGCGAAACAAATATTTACAGATTTCGAATACAATGAAGTAACGCGATGTTATTTCTTTGCTCTTGACACTAGCGTGTCAAATAACTCAGCGTAGACTTTCGCTTGTCCAGCGAATGCGAAGAACCCTTGAGGCTGTGGGAATATTCATGCAATTAGAGACGTTGAAGGAATAATGCCGGGCATGCTCATTTTGCTCAACTCGAGTAAAAGTGATCACCAATTAGTTATTAAATGCCATGTGTGTGACGCTCAATTCCTGACGACCGTGCATGCCGATGCCCGGCGGAGTCACGACCTGAAGGCGGCAACTATTGAGCAACACTGACGTGTCTCATCGAACAGATGGAAAGGGAGAATTGTAAATGTCCCCTTCTTATGGTATTTGATTTTAATGTTTCAATGGTACTTAAGTTTATTTTATAGAAAATAATTAATCACGCTATGCAAAAAATCCATTTTAATCACCATAAATAGCTTTATGACTACTCAACTCGAAGAATTAAGCAGAAAGCATCAACCAGGAAAACCAGGACATTAAATTTCCTCAATTCAAAAATGTGTGCGTTAAAAAAACAGTGATGCGCCATGTAGCAACTCGACATGAATAGATCATCAGCATCAAAGTTAACTGGCTAGAATCATTGTCATTTCAAAGAAATGTAATTTATACTAAACTAAATAGAAAATGACTTCACCGAAGATTCTTCGCCTAAGTTTATAAAGAGAAAATATCACCTGTATCTAGTAGCTGGCAATAAGATGATCGCAGTCAAGCCAGTGATTGAAAAAACACGTACTGGTACACAGAACAGAGAAGCAGAAATGGAGGGGCGTTTCAGATTTGAGGATTGAGGAGTGGATTGAATTATTATCGTAATGGATAAACGAGATTAAAGATTTAATTGAGGACTGATTTTTAATTTTGTCGTTTTAAATTTTTTAAAAAATTGAGAGTTTTTGGTAAATTTCTAAACTTGACTTAAATATAAATATAGGCTTTTACTGGTCTTTTGAAGAAGAGTATTTTAGTAAGTTAGTTAGCAATAATTGTCGACACGAAATCGTTAAAATTCGAAAACTGTGCATGTTAACTCAAGTTAGATTCCAAATTATTTTGTTTAGCATATTTTAGAGTAAAATCAATCAATTCAAATTATAACATGTTCTTAAGAATCATAATTTCAATGCTATAAAAGTCATCATTTCCATGATTTAAAATTATGATGAACGAAACAAACCTAGAAAACTATCATAGTACGTGGTTATGTTTGCATGAAATGTGATTTTCATAATTATAAAAGTTCAACGGGTAATCATCTTTCGCGTTTAGAGTTTAAATTTTGTCGTTATATGTGGGAAAAATATGTCACGCAGTAAAAATCACCAGTGTTTGAGGACTTCAACTTGTTCGAACAGCTTGGTTATCTATTAAATCTCTAGCCGGCTTCGATGTTTCATTATGAGAATTGTAATTAAAAAAAATGTTTGGCTTAATGCTCAAAAGTTTAAATCACGTGAACGAAATTTATTACCGCTCTAAAAAGGTGTTAAAATCGAAAGTTTAGAATATCTCAGATAAAAATAGTGTTCCCAACACCAAGGCAGCTTGTATGAGTCGTCATTAGATGCTAATAAAGAGGCCCGACAAACCACGTCGTCCACACCCAAGCACTTTCCCTGCAAGTCTTCTTGCAAACAACGTTCCTTCTCGCACCTCGAGCTTCTCTAGTGTTATAACATTCCCACTCGTTCAGAAGATGAAAGCAATTCTCGTATTCTTTTCAGCTAATAATATAAACGAACGCTGAACTTTGCAAGTGAAGAATTGGAAAATGTGAGGATCTTGCTAACAAATGAAGGCTGGAATATCGAAGATAAGGCACATTACCCTCCCAAGCAATGCGTCAGATTAGTATTCGAAAAATTTGTTATAATCATAATTATTGGAAATTTTGAAGAATAGAACTGAAAGCTGCCGCTTTTAAAACAAAGAAGAATTTTAGGCGCTGAACAATTTTGCAAGCAGCGTTGTACTTGTCAGCTAACATTTCTCCACACGCTTAATCTATACATATATATCTCCATACGCTTCATCTATATAACTATTATTTTGAAGCTTACGCGTGAACTTTCAACATCAGGTAAACTTGAACTTGTTAACTTCCTAAAACATAAAAAGTCGAAAAATTATCGATACTGGCAGTTTCACTGCCTATATTATGTTCGGAACAAAGTTTTACGTGACTTCATTCACAAAATGATCAACGACCGAAAAAGGCATTGGGCCAAATTTGCCCTGAGCGGAAAAAGCATATCGGAGGGAATTGGTGTGATACAGTGAAACACCGCTCGAATTTTCGATCAAAACGTCAAATATAGATAAGCATTCAAAATGATAGGGGCCCTAAGCGATAATTTGTTTTTGTATGCGTAAACACTTGCATTAAACCTGCAGTTGTTCACCACGAGCTCTCTTGGTTAACTCACGTCTCAAGTAGCCTGATGAATTAAATCATCGCATTTGTAGTTACTTTTGTAAAGCATTACAATGCCTACCAAGCAAAATACGCTTCCAAAAATCGACGACGCGATATGAGCAAGTGAAAAGGGGAATTTGTGATTGAGCTTACACGTTGTTAGAGCACTAGGTGCAAAGATGGGTTATCGAGGTAGAGCTTGTGCGGTGGTTGAGCAGTAGGTGCACGGAAGGGGAAATTGAGGAAGAGCTTGCACGGTGACATAGCACTAGATTTTAATAAAAAGGAATCAGAAGGAGTGTTAGAGGTTAGAGATAACCGAGCCGCGACCATCGCGGAGACTGCTCAATCCTCGGTAACTATACCCAACCACGGTGCTGGATTCTCCTGCTCCTTATATAAATCACGTAAACAAGAGGTCTCCTTATGCCAGCGGTTTTCCTGTAAACTCCCTAATTCGAACAGTCATTCTCACGCTCTCGTCTCGATACCACACTCACGACTATCAGCTCAAACTACAACTCTACCATACATCACTTCCACCTAAATATAACGTCTATAAAACATACTAAAAGCTATATAACACACAAACAACTTGTTCGACGTAATTTCGGGTTAGAATTATTTCGAATTTTGATTGTAAATCATAATTTTTTTGCAACTGTTTCTTGAATACGCTGAACATCGCTTCCACATAAATATAACTTCTATAAAACATACGAAAAGCTATATAACACACAAACAACTTGTTCGACGTAATTTCGGGTTAGAATTATTTCTATTTTTGGTTGTAAATCATAAATTTTTGGCAATAGTTTCTTGAATACGCTGACTTATAGATTTTGATGCTTGAGCACACGTTTGCCTATGCACATGATTGCCGATTGTTCATTTAGAATTTTAAGAGGTTGTTTCCAGTAAGAAAGTACATCAATAGGGTGAGAAGACTCGTGACTTTGAAGAATGACTGCCTGCTATAAGCACGGCTGCTGTAACTGCTAAACGCCTCTTAATAATAGAAAGTACGGCGAACCCGGCCATAGTCTTGCCGTGCCAACTGCACCTTAATGAGTGCGCGAGCACGACCTCATACCGTTTTCGATTTCTTCTTGCAAAACGAAACGACTGCTGCATCCGTGATAAATTGAAGTTCTAAACAACTTTCCCATTCATTTGCTTCTCTATAAAACGAAACGGCAGTCTAAGGTGTCATAAATACGGCATAGAACATCGAACCTGCTAGTTCTGCTAAAAGTTCTGCAGAAACTAAAAATAGTTTCTGCTATTCTCTATGTACCGTGATCGTCTTACGGCAATAAAAATTAGCAAGGCCCCAAAATTACAATACATAGATGTAGGTGCCAGTTTTGTCGTATTTTTCTTTTTAATTTGTCGGT